TGCCAACAAAGGGAAGAGGAGTTGACAGTGCTGATTCCTTCCCTGAAACATGAATCTGAACAACTGTGCATGGTTTCATAAAAGCTCAGGATCCTGGAGAGAAATTACAGTGCAGAAACAGGAAAAGCTGCGTGGAAGGGGATAGGCACAGCAGTTCCATGTTGGCTCACGTCACCCCTTTCCCCAGCTAGTGTAGTCCAGCAGTGTGAGAGAGTCCCTCCAAGTGCAAGGTGGTGAACAAAGTGAATAGCTGATCTTCCTGGAGACCCATGAATAGAACTGCCACCACAAACTCTGGAACCAGGCTGGGTGATCTGGACCCAGGCTCCAGTCTGGCTACCCAGACATAGTCAATAAGATCACTCCAGTAGACACTTGTGCCAACCTTCCTCCTGGTAAACATAAAATCCAAGCCTCTACCCATTGACCAAAGTACCAAGCCTACTCACAGACCAAGCTCTAGGCTCCCCAAGCTCTGTGATAGCCCCTGGGTACTAGAAGACAGGTCCTCTAGTCTGATGACCCAGGCACCAGACCAGCCCCATTCAATATCATGTCCTGGCTGTTCCATTTCTGATCCAGCTTCCCTACTAATGTGCCTAGGAAAGCAGCAGAGGATGGCCCAAAGCCTTAGGACTCTGAACCCACATGGGAGTCACAGAAGAAGCTCCTGGCACCTTGCTTAGGATTGGCTCAGCTCCAGCTGTTGGCAGCCATTTTGAGAGTGAACCAAGGGATGGAAGCTATTTTTCTCTGTCTCTCCTTCTTTCTGTAAGTCTGCCTTTCCAATAAATAAATCTTTTTTAAAAATTAAAAGTTCAACAAGAAGATCATGAAAAATAAACATAATTTCTAAATTGTGTTTCAAAAGATTTGATCAACTAGAAGAAACAATGAGGCCAAGGAGTCATCTGAAATTACTCAGAAGAAAAAAAAACAAGGAACAAAGTCTGTGGGACTCAGGGGCCATCATCAAGTGAATCATTCTCTGCCTGATGGGAGTCACTGAGGAACAGGGACAAAGCAACAGCAACCATTCAAATCTGGACAAGGAAACAAACATTCAGGTCCATAAAGCCCAAGGTACCCTAAAAAAAGCTAAACATAAAAGAATCATCACCAAGCTGCATTGTAATCTAATTCTCGAAAGTCAAAAACAAAGAGAATTCTGAACAATGCAAGAGAAAAGTAACTTGTCACATACAAGATAACCTCTGTGAGAATATCAGCAGACAATATATTCAAAGTGCTGGGGTGGGGGCATGAGCTAGAATAATGTGAGTTGAAAAACTATCCTTCAAAATGGTCTCACACACCTTCCTATAGCCCTTGACCCTTTGAACTCAATTCAACTATGTAAAAATCACCAAAAATTTAAAAAATAATTATCTAAAAAATATAAAAGAAAAGAGAAAGATGAGGGATAAGCAGATGGGCACAAACAAGCTGAGGGAATTCATAAAAACTTGACCTGCTCTATAAGAAATGCTAAAGAAAGTTCCAGCTGAAATCAAAAGATCTTAATCAACATAAAAATAAATGAAGAAGAAAGTTTATTTGTAAATTAAGAATACTGTGAAGATCAGAATAGTCTACTATTGTTAGAGATCCATAAATCATTTTAACAGTATAAAAATTAAAACACAAAAGTATTTAAAATAACTATAGCTATAACAATTTGATAATTGCAATAGCACAAACCGGTAAAAGCTATAATGCCAAAAACATATAATATTGGCGGTAGAAAAGTTAAACTATATTGTTATAATGTGGTCATAGATATATTAGTATCAATTTAAAATGGCCTAGCAATCTTGAAGATATTTTATTTAAGCCCTCATGACCACAAAGACGGAGGAACCAGAGTACACCACTACCACCCACAACCAAAACAATTTTGCAAAGCAAGAAAAAGGGAAAAACAAAGAACAAAGAAACAACAAAACAGTCATAAAACATTTCACAAAACTGCAACAAGAAGCCCTCAGCTGTCAATGATTACACATATATGAATTAAATTTTCTAATCAAAAGACACAGAATAGCTAAATATATCCTTTAAGAATGATCCAACATTTTGGGGTCCCTCTCAAAACTATATGGTGCCCACAAGCCATGTATCACTTAGCATTAATGCCATATAAAGTTTTTAAGTGAAAAGCTTGAAAAATATATTCTATGTATACAGTAATCAAAAGAGAGCAAATGTAGCAATACTTAAAATCAGAGAGAATAGACTTTGAGTCAAAAACCATCACAACAGACAAACAAGCCATTGCCTCATGAATGGGGAAAATCATCAACAGGATACAACACTTGCAAATGGATATGTAACCAATATTGAGCACATATAAAGTAAGTATTGACAGAACAGAACAGAGAAGCAACTACTCTACCACTGGTTGGGGACTTGAACACTGCCACTTCCATCAATGCTTTGCTCGGCCAGACAGAAAGTCAACTAAGAAACAGTAGATCGAATAACACTACAACTGAAATAGGCTTCACAGCCCTACAAGCATGCTTCAAATAGCTTTTGGAAAAGCGTACTTTACAGAGATTTATTTTGATGTAGAGAAATTTAAATATATACATAATTTTTTATAAAATGTATTTTCCACAAACTTATCGAAGATGGTTCATATAGAGAACATTTCATTCACTCAGCAGAACTAAAATATTCTTCTGAAGTGCACATAAAAAATTTCCAAGATGACTCATACTTTAGGCTACAAAACAGTCTTAACTATTTTGAGAAGATTAAAACCAATTCAAGTATCTTCTAAAATTTATAAATACATGAAAAAAATGAGGCAAAAGATATCAAAAGAAAAATTATAAATATTTTGAAACCAATGAAGTTAGAAACACAAGTTATTCAAAATTATGGGATGCACCAAAAGCAGTTCTAAGAAGGAAGTTATTTCCAATAAACATGTACATTAAGAAGAAAGCTGTCATAAAATCAACCTAATTTGTACTTCAAGAAACTAGAACTATGTGAGGTAATTAGCATGTTAATCAGCCTAATTGTGGCTAATTTCACAATGCATGCATATATCAAAATATCACACTATGCACTTATGTATATACAATTTTTGCTTTGTTCTCATATCTCAATAAAGTTGAAAACACAGTCAAGCAAACTCGCAGTTGCACTACGGAGGAAGAGCAGTGTGCAATGGGAGAAACCTCCAGGAACACAAGAAGGGAAACATGAGGGAATTGAGGTAGAGCTGCAGCCTGCAATGCCAGCATCCCGTGTGGACACCTGTCCAGGTCCTGGCTGCTTCACTTCCTATCCAGCTCCCAGTTAATGCACCTCAGAAAGCAGTGAAGCCATTCCAAGCCATTGGGCCCCAACAACATGGGGGAAACCCAGAAGAGCTCCAGCTTCTTGGTTTCTGTCTGGCCCACCCCTGCAATTGTGGTTAGCTGGGGAAAGAATCGGTAGTTGGAAGACCTCTTTAAGATAAATAAATAAACAAACAAACAGATGAAGGGAATGAGAATTCTATGCAGAGAAATAATTCATGTGAAGGCCTTGGGGTGGGAGGGGAGAGGACGGCGTTGAATCATTTGGCAGACATTTGTGTAGCTGAATGAATGACCACGAGAAAGGCCAGCAGGCTAACTCACACAGAACCCCACAGGCATTTGGGTCGTTACATTAAGAACAAATGGGCAAAAGTCTGTATATGTCTTATGAGGGTACATAATTCTCTCTACATTTCAGAAAGCCCAGGCTAGCTGCTGTACGGAAAAATGGCAGAAACTGGACCCAGGAAAGCTAATTTGGAAGCAGCTGTCATGGTCTAGGTAGGACATAAAATGACTGAAGTAAAGTGCTGGTGGTGGAGGAAACCTGAACTCAACTGAGGTCAGACACCTGAGTTCCAGGTGGAAAGAATCCTCCAGAAAACCACAGTGGGCAGGAGGCTGGCGCTCACTGCCCTAGGCAGATATGCTGGCCCGAGTGGCGAGGCACTGTCATGGTTAGCCCACACAGTGTGCCTTCAAGATCTTCTCTCCTGGAGGAGTTCCCTAACCAGTACTTTTGCTTGGGATCACTTACGTGTTAACTGGGAGTGAAGCCAGAGTGGGGGCCCTGAGAGACATCTGTAGAATGGACACTTCAGAATCTGCAAGGGCCACTAATGGCATCTTGACAGGGGACTCCTTCCTCTACGGTCTAGGGAGGATGAGGGTGTTCCTCTTAAGGAAGACTGCCTCTTCTCAGGCACAGAACCACCCTGCTGCCAGCACCTAACCAACACCAGCTTCTGAGCTTCCTGCAGGGAGGTAACTCCCAAGTGCAGTGTGGGCCAAGCAGTCTCAGTGGGTAAGATCCTCATGATTCAGCAGATGTATGAAAACACTTTTCATCTTACACCTCCCTGCAACTTGGGTACCAACCACAGATCTACGTTATCATGTGCTCTCTATATTTTGTTCAAGAAAGAACATGTCACTCTTTTCATTATTATTATTATTGCTGAAGAACCAAGTACTCAATTACCCAGGCCATACTTTCTATAGTCAAGCAGAAAACTTGGATTCTATGCCATAGGGGATGTCCCAAAGGGATTCAGACTCTGCTAAGAAGTAAGACACAGGCATAAAAAGATGAAGTACATCTGTGATGTTCAGAACATGCAGTTTTTCAAACACAAGATGATGGCTTCCTGGCAGAGGAATCAAGAGAGAAGCAAATGATGGAATTTGGATAATCAGAGGAGCACCCAATCAGAGGGAGAGAAAAACACCCATTTGTGGAACTCCTGCCACTGTCTGGGTCCAGTAGGAGCCTTTAGATAGGTTCTTCTCACAGGAACCTGGAGGCAGGAGCCAGCCTTCCACATCACAGAAAAGTGGGTGAGTCACCTGTCCACAGGGTCAGCAACTGTGGCGTCACAAGAGAAAAGTAATCATTGAAGTCAAACACAGAAGTTAAAAAAGAAAAAGTGATAGGCTTCTAAGACAAGAGCAGGATCTGCTTACCAGAACTGACAACTCATCGCAGGAGCCAAAGGCAATCAGACCGGAATCACAAGTTGCAGCGGTGTTGAGGTGAATCTCAGATGCCATGCTAAGAGGTCTCACTTCAAACTTGAATGTGATGGGAGGCATGACCTAGAGAGTGACACGGTCAGAGTTGTACTTTTACAATGCGGACTTTATGGAGAATGGTGAAGGCAGAGGAAAACTCAACAGGCCCAATGTGAAGCCTAGGGCGAGTGCCAGGGGAGCGAGCAGGGAGGAAATGGAGATGTGGGGACCTGCAGGAAGGAAGCAGAGGTGGGAATTGCTGACTGGACTGGGTCCAGGGAATCTGAAAACCACTTCTTCGTTTTTTGGTGATAGGAAGTTGATTACTTGAGAACAGGGCTGAATAGAGCAGGACTTCCTAAAAAACCAGGAGGGCAAGACCCATGAGTATGCATCCCCAACAGAAGTCACAGCCCCAAATCACATGGCCAACGCAGAGAACCTCTGCCCTGTTGGAACTCTGGCGTCTACAGGAGGCCCTGGCCTCAGACAGGCCCTGGTGGCCCAGCCATGTAGTGTCACCCTGTTCAGTATCTCAGGATAAATGAGGAGCTTAGAGATTGATGAGACCCAAAAGCAAGTGGTAAGAGACACAGGAAAAAACAAAACAAAATAAAAGACAAATAAATGAAATACTGTCCACATCTCACAGATAAAAAACAGAACAAACAACAAAAACAGAGGCACAGGTTGGTTCAATCCAGCAAAGTCATGCGAGAATCAGGATATAACCCTAAGGCCTCAGGTGTAGATCCTATCTGAGTATGTCAGGGACCCAAGGAGGGGGTGTCCTTAGCCCCCAGTTCCTATCTGTCTACCCATTTATCCAGGACAGCAAGCAAAGGCGACAAGCTGAGGCATGCGAGTGGGCCTGCAAGGGCTTCCAGACACTTCTTAGCGCTCCAGCAGCCCAGTGCTTGATGGGCACCAGGACCCCAGCACAAAAGCCTGGGTTTGGACTCCAGCAGGGACAGCTGGTCTCTCCCTGGAAGGTAGGGCCCTGCTCAGGCAAGCACATCGTCTCCACCCAAAGCTGGCCCGGCCAGCATCACCATACTCCTCCTTTCCTTTCTGATTCACACTGCCCTGCCTGCCCCTATCAGCCAACCCAAAACACAAAAATCTCTAAAGGGCCCCACTTCCGACAAGACAGACTATCAGAAGAGATGCGGACCAGCTGATGATGTCCACAACAGCCAAAGCTGTCCACTCCCAAACAGTGGCCCCTCCCACCCTTCCTGCCAGCCCTGCACTTGGAGGCCTGGCAGGCCGGTAAGAAGAAAGAGCTCCTATCGCTGATTCCACAGGGCCCTGATAAGAAATGTCATCCCTTGCTGGCTAATATTACCCAGCCCGATAAGAATCTCTATCAAGCTCAAACATACGGCTGGCTATAGAACACAGAGCCCAGTGGAGCAGGATAATTTATTTACTTAAGCTGAAAACCCTGGGCAGTCCAGAGAAGGGCACTGAATCAAAGAGTCAGACCAAATTAGAGCCTCTTCTGACTTGGCCTTGGGATTCCTGGGGGAAAGATGAGGTGTCTGAGAACAATGGGGGGCCTCCCGGCTTTCCTCCTGACACAATGAGCACTTTCACCTTCCTCCCTCTTCAAAGGGCACTTCACTTCTGTGATCGCTCTTAACCCCTACTACTACCTCAAGAGAAGCAGCTTTCGCCTCCTTTTTGCAGTCCAGGAAATTGAGATTCAGTAAGGTGAAGTCAGGCGCCTAAACTTATTCACAGGCAGCCTGGCCAGAGCACAGGCTCCATGCCCAACCGGTGTGACACACCAGCAACACGCTGTCAAATGTGGAGGCTGAGGCAGGGCTCCCACAACTGAATTAATTCAGATCAGCCTGTAGCAACTGACAGTGCCTGACACCTGTCATCACCTCCAAGGTCCATTTCAAGCCTCAGCCCTTTCCTTGCTTCTTTGTAACACAGGGGGAAATGCCTTGCAGAGCACAGAATCTCACTAGAAGGCAGTGAACACATCCCCAGGGGACACAGAAGGCCCCAGGGCTTAGACACCAGCCTCACTGCTTGAGGAGCAACAGGTAGGAAGAAAACTGCCCCCTCTCTGCATTGATTCATTCACTCACTGATGGGAATTCTATTAGATGCCTGTTCTGGGCTTGGCCCTGGATGTCCTGCCACATGTGGGCAGCCCTGGTCCAGGTTGCAAGATGTGGTCTAGGCTTCAGGGGCGACTGACAGGTGAGTGAAGATGCAGGGACAACAGGATGGACTGAGTCCACCTGCGGATGCAGACACTTGGGGGATAATCTTAGCATTAGTGTGCAGCTCTTCACATGCGCCACATTCTGCCCTCCCTCCCTGCACTGTAAAACAATCAACATAACTATGGTAGATGCTGCTGTCCATAACTGATGCAGCTTTTACTTCAAGATTATTCCTTAGCAGACAGGCTAAATATGCTTTCACAGGCACAAATATGCTTTCAATTAATTAAATATTTTAATTGAGTAACAAAATTGGAACATATCTCTGGTACAATGTTTTGAAGCAGATATTCAATATGGAATGGTTAGGTCTAATTATATGCACATTTCCTTACATACCTGTTTTTTTTTTAACTAATTATTTCACCAGCTCTGTGATATTCCCTTATGTGGGTCTATTAGCCTATATCAACCAATCCTCAACAAATGGGTTGAACTTTGTCTTTTCTATGTCCCACAACGCTGGCGTGAAGATTCAGTGCACCTTTGCACTAGCAGCATTTCCTTATCCTAACTGCTCCTGTCCTCTTCCCTCTGGCCGTAGCAAGATCTCATCATTGCCCTCACAAGCTGATGGTTCCCGTGCTCTGCCTTCGGCAGTCCCCAGCCGGGATCCCTACTGCTGCCATGTCCATAAACACATACAGGGAAACAAAACCAGTTCACTTCCAGTGGCCAGGAAACTTCCTCCTGTCCGTGGGCATTTGGTCCAAAACCATGCTGAACACTCAGCAAGACACCAGCCTCTCTTCTCACAGGCCATTCCCAGGGCTGGGGAGGTTTCTTCTTCTGGGTCGTAAAATTTTTAAGAATGCAGAGAACCCAAAGTTGGAGAAGGTAAACTCCACAGAAACTAAGGGTTCATATAAGTCTACATCCCCATGTAACAAAGAATAGCTAACATCAGTTGTCTAACATGGAGGCCCAAGAACCTCAGGGGTAGGCACTGAGCATGACCAGCACAGCTTCAGTTAGTCATAAAGCAGGTATGTCTCTGTGTAAAACAAAGTAGAGTCTAAAGGGCCAGAGGACAGCCTGCCTTTGGAAGTCTTGCCATCAGCTGAAGGCACTGTGCCAGATGCTGAGATGAGGAGAGCAAGCAAGAGTAATGTGGAGACCTTCTTGAGAATCTCATGGTCCTCTGGAGGAACAAGAGAAAAAAGGATACAATCTATATAGATGGAAGGACCTCAACAGTTTTAGAAAGCAAAAGAAGATATCACCTATTCTTCCCGAACAAGACAGATGAGAAGCATCTGGGCAGGGTGCTGAGGAGTAGGAATCACCACCAGGCAGAGGAAGGGGCTTTCCTAAGTATTAATAGCATGTGTGACCCGGACAGTGAACATACTGCTGGCCTGTGGTCAGGCAGTGAAGGATATCCTTCATCCGTTAAGCTCATGAGATTGGCTTTTCCCTTAAATGGAACCAGAAAAAGGCAGACTCTTGAGTTATAGAGTTGCAAGTTAACACCATGTTTTAGCATCATCAAGGGGGATAAACATGTGAGAAAGTTCCCATACATGTGGGAACCAATACATCACTGTTCCCAGATCATCCTGAAAAGTAACAGCAGTAAGTGGCCTCCTAAGTCAGACTGACTGTCTTCAAGTTCCCCCACTACCACCTTGAACAAGTTCCTTTTGGATTTTGTGTTGGTTATCGTCTCATCTGTGACATGCAGACATTAGCAGAAGCCTTTTACAGATACTTGTGGACTGTGGACTGGATGAGTTAATACCTAAAGTGCTTAGAACAGCGCTTGGCACGCAGCAGGGGCATGATTCACAACATTATTAGGACTGCTCCTATCTCCTAGGTGCCTTCAGCTTCCCCTTGCCGTGCTGCCATCCACCCTGCAATGTGAATGACCATGAGCCTGAGCACAGATGAGCAAGTTTGCTTCAAGGCTTGTTACAGGGAGCTGAAATTAGGACTTTAATTAAACTTGCACATTACCAGCTTCCTGTGAACTTCCCTGCAAGCAGACTGCTCTAAGCCAGGGATGCTGCCCAGTAGAGTCACCAGTGAGATGTTATGCATTCCCATGGTCAGGCCTCATTTCAGATGAAATCAGAATCTTGCAGGAGGATTTTAAAATCCTCCAGCTGATTCCAGCATTGATGCAAGCTTGAGAACAACTGAATCAAGAATGAAACATGACAGCAATGGGATCTGTGATGGAGGAATGTGTCCCAACACAGAGCTGTGAAATCCCCAGAAGGCATCCACTCATGAGGATGCCTCTGTTCTCTCCACCCTCCCAGGCAGCTGGGGTGGCATGTGAAACTCAAAGAGACATCTGCCCTGGGCTAACATACCACTCCAGTCTCTTCTAGAAATAAGAAGGTAGACAATGCTAACAAATACAGCCAAGTTGTCCGTTCTGGTGGAAAAGTACTGAATTGAGCAGACAGTGGTTTTGGTCTCAGACTGTCACACTAGTACTATGTGACCTAGAAACCATCGTTTTGGAACCTCAGTTTCTTGAATGGCAGAACTGTTAGAACTGATTTACTGATCAGACAAGATGTTTGTAAATGCAACTGGAAGGTGTAAGTCATACTACACAGTGTCGAGCAAATATATGGCATTCTTATTTAATTTGTTTTCCAGGACCTCCTAAAACAGGCCCTGTTCAGCAGAGAAATGCTCCCTTACACAAGTTTTATTACTGGGAGAAAGAAAAAGATAAGGAGAATGGCAGCCACATGGGCAGGTTGTAATGGTGCCTGTAGGGGTCTGAGTGGGACCAGTGATAGGGCAGAAGCAAAAGGCGTGTCTGAGGGCTGTCCTAGCAGAGCCGTTAAGATAGGATACGTTATCTGGGAACAATGG